AAAGTGGATGCCTCAGAATTTGGGCATAACTTTGCCTTGGTACTTTATATTTTCCTCTGACGTGACCTGGATATGAATATCACCAAGTCTTAGTATTATATTCCTGGGGACTAATGATAGTCTAGATTCCTCATTAATCCCAATGCCTACATCTAGATCTATCAAGTAAGGAACAACCAAGTAGGATCGTGTCGGAGGTAAGGTCCGTTTGGTATACATAGTATAATGTTTGGAAATCCCACTTTAAATACCTCACTAAATCTAGCCTAGACATCATCCCCGTTAGTAGATCAATCAGTATAATGACTTGGAATTACCGATAAATCTTATATACAGGTTCATAATAACGACATATGACTATAAATGTAAGTTACACTGAAAGCACAAGTGTGTAGCTTAACTTATAGAGTTTTTAGCAAAAATCAAGAAAAGGTTCGAACATAACTCCGACTGGAATGCTCCTTCTCGTCTCGCTACCAGAAATCTGAGAGGATTTGAGAGTGATTAGAAGTGAAATTGTGAGGAAATGAGAAGAAGATTTGCTACGATATATAAAAACAAGGGGAAGCGCGTCACACATGGTACTGGGCGTGCCGCACCATATGGTGCTGCTCGCTCCTCAAGTTGTTTGCCACGTGTTGCTTGTTGGTTTGTCCACACCCTTTCCTTCTAGAACGTGCCATGTGTCACCATTTCATGGTGCCACGTGTCACCATTTTTCATGGGCCACATTGCTTGTCTCTTGGAGTAGTGAGAGGCCGACATGGCACGCGACGCACTCTGGTGTTCCCACGTCATCAGTGTAGGCATTTTCTTGCAGATCTTTGGACGACCATAACTTCCGCATACGAGCTCTGTTTTTGACGTTCTTTATATCCCCGGAATCCTCTCGATAAGCTCTACAACTTTCATTATGTTCTCAACATCTAAATTTTGATTTTAACAAAAACTCATATAATGACCGGTTTAGACTGTTAAAGTTTGTGCGAAATTCATAACTTATTAATATGAACTCCGTTCTCGACTGTCTTTATATCGACGAGTTCATAATCATGAGTTCTTCAATTACTGTTTAGACTGTTTCGGCTAACAAGCAACCGATATGAATTTCGATTTCTCTATCCGTAGTGTTGTGCTGAAACTTTGAAAAATCATAACATCCCCTCACGAACTCAGATTTGGATGTTCTCTATATGCACACTCTCAATTTAATGACTACTATGCCTTTCTTTTAGATTACTTAGGCTAAAAAGTAATTTATCAAAAATTCACGTTTTACGATACGTAGAGGCGTGTCGGTTTAATTGTGAAACTTTGAAGAAGCATAACTTCTTCATACGAAGTCGGATTTAAATGTTCTTTATATGTACATAATCTTTGTCGCATATACTATGACTTTGGTTAAGATTATTTATTCTAAATAATCTCCTATCCAAAAGTCATTTTTAACGTTTATTATCTCTAAATTGACTAACCTGAATCTGCGGGTGTTACACATATTGTTAACTATTTATAAGCATAGTTGTTAAACTCCCAACGTTGATCTTAAGATCTTACTATTTAATAACCTACAAGTGCAAAGTAATTACGAACTCACCTCTTTAGTTTATTATATAGTCAAATTTTAAAAAGTCTTGTAGATGATCATTATTTCATCAGTTCATCTCGAATTAGGCATATAACACTCATAATAATCCATTTGTGATCTAATGTCTTTCGTTTTTTTTTGGGAAGTGAACTTTCCTAATTAGGGTTTCGGGCCAACTTTCAAGCACCGACTAATCTCCCGCTGCAAACATGAGGCCTTTGCCTCATGTCATGGAGTCACTGCAGACGAATCTCCATGGTTACAAGGGTTGGGTAGTGTCAGGATTTGAACATGGGTCAATAGGTTCTCCACCATATCCTCCACATGTCTTACTAAGTCCCTACAACCCAAGTGGTTATCTAATGTCTTTAGTTGTACATGATCAAAATGACTGACTTAACGTCTTAAGACACTTTTAAAAAAATCACATGATAAAGTTTGCTGGAAAATATAGGTTCTTAAAAGATCATCTCTCTCTCTCTCTCTCTCTCTCTCTCCTATATATATATATATATATATATATATATATATATATATATATATATATATATATATATATATATATATATATATATATATATATATATTACACCAAATATTTTGCGGGCAAATTTGAATAGGAGTTCATTTTAGTAGGATCTTCGATCCCGATTCAATCTTACAATCATGATTTTAGAAAACGTAAAACAATCTTAGATAAAATTCTAAATAACCTTGTTTATTAGTGATGAAACTTGGTTCACCGAAGAAATGGGTTGCACTTAGTTGAGGGTCTTATCCTAACTAATTTCAAAATTGATCGGGTATTAATAGTTGATACTTACATTTTCAAACAAAATCTAACTCTTAAAAAACTATTATCCGTTGATAATGACCAGGGCCGGCGCATGGGCCGGGGCAAGCTGGGCGACCGCCCCGGGCCCCCAAATGCCAAATGACCCCCATTTTATACTTGTTATATTCGGTTATATATTGACAATCGATTGTTTTTAAGCTTAATAGACTGGTTCAGAGGCCCAATCGTCCTATACCGATTAGGTTCCAAAGAGGGAGTCATTCTGATTAGAGAGAGAAGTGTGCGATGCATTGTTAATTTCCAAATCTCAAGGCTCACCAACAATATCAGTAATGTAATTTCTATGGAAACTTTAAACATCATCACTTCCACTTCTCTAGATAACGGTTAGTTCTAGACTTATTCTATTTCTTATTCTTCTTCTTTGATTTTTGAGTTCAACCATTTCTTATTCTTCCTTTTTGATTTCTGAAACTCGATTCTTATTTCTAAAATGTCATAGGCACCAGATCACTCCTTATTCTTTCCTTCTTATTTTTGATTTGTTTTTTATAAACTAGCACTATTGCATCATACAAATTAGATTAATTAACATCTCTTGTTTTGATTGACCTCCTCTTTTCTTTAATATCCACGAGGTCAAATTCAGATTTCCTTTCCAGTTAGTGCTTCAACCGAATTCGATCAAAGAAGATCTGAATCACGCTCTATATGATTTGAACCTACGACATCGGGTTTTGGAGACCCACGTTCTACCGAACTGAACTAAGAGCGCTTTCTTATCATAAAAGATAAGACTGTAAATAAAAGGATTTGCCCCAATACATCTTGTATGCATACACTATACTAGTATCATAACAATGAAAGATTCTATATGATATGTCCAATGTGAATTTATCTCAAAAAAATCCCTCGGTACTACTCAAAGGAAGTGCTTTCTGAATGTGAACTTCAAGAATTGAGAATAAGACTTAATTGATTTCTGAATCTGAATATGTGTAAGTTTAAAGCTACTTGAAATTTCTAATTCTTTCTAAAGTTGATTCTACCATTCTAAATTTTGATTTTTTTTTCTTACGTAGTGTAATACGAATTTCAAAGTTTGATTTCAGATTTTTTATAATGATGTTTTGGCTTCTTTTCAACTGAACAGCTCGAAGGTTTTTAACAACTAACAACAACAGGTTTAGCAGGTTTTTGTCTCACATGCTATCGTAGTTGTTGGTTTAAGGCTTTCATACTAATTTGGCTTGGTATTTTGTTGTTGGGAATGCCCTTCATAGAAGCACATTGGTCAAGTTATGTCTAACGTTCATTCCATCTCTAAAGGGTTTAAGATGCTTCTTGATTTGCTGATGAACAATAATTTAATGTACCTTGCTGTTTATGTTATATCCCCACAACAGTTGTGTATTTCCAAGGGAAAACATGAAAAATAAGTGTATTTTTAAATTGTTCCTGCCATCTTGGTTCATACTTCCTAGTGTTAATTTTCTATTGATTTGTTGCAAAGGGTAAACATGAAAAAGTAAATATAATTCATTTTTGTAGGTTATGGCAACTTACTTGCATTATACTTTTTATTCATTTGATTGTTCTTATACCTCTACAATATTTTTGGTTTATTGTTTTTGTTTTGGGCCTCACTTAACAAAATATCAAAATGATCATAATTTTTTTATTGGTAATGTTATATATAATTATAAGTATATCATTATGAAAAACAAATTAGATGTGAAGTGTTATTTAATTTTTCTTTATGCTGAACCAAACAACCTGAAACCGATTAAACCACACTTTTTTGTTTGGTTAAAGTTTTAAAAGAAAAAAAAAGAAAAAAAAAAGAAAAAGAAGAAACTTATTAAACCACACCAAATAACACCCTTAAAAATGCCTCATTTTTTTTGTTCGCCCCAGGCCTCTAATCGGCTTGGACCGGCCCTACTAATGACTAATATTTTATGGAAGATACAATTAGATCTGACCATGATACTATTTTTTTCAGGTAGTGATTCTAGGAATTTGATCTATTGCCACAAACAAAAAATTTCATGAATCAGCCAAATGCTTTCTTTTTAATTTAACATGAGGCACTTTTTGAAGTTGCATGCCATACTAGATGCACGATTCCTTGATCCTAGAGTTTTACATGATTTGATTTTTACTTTTCAGTAAGAAATTAACCTGTGCATATATCCAAAGAACTTAAGCTAGAGGGCCAATCCTGAGTAATTAAATATTTTCAAAGCTCTAGGACGAGTCAGAAAAAAAAAAGGACCATTATCGTTATTATAAGTTTTTATTTTTAAATGAAAAAATATATAATAAAAAAAATTGGGCCTTGTACAACTGTCCACATTTTGCCCTCCCTCAACGCCCCATGAAGCTAGTCAATATATAAAAAACGAGTGCATATAAATAAAGTTTCGTGATCTACTTATATGCAAGCCAAGAAGAGAGTGATTTTTTTTTTTTTTTTTTAGAATAGCAGTATAGACAACTATGATTTGAGGGTTACAATATATAATATGTTTACATATAGGGCCGAAACATAAACATTTTGTTAGCAGAGGGGTTTTACTTTAAAATTTATATTCCATTTTACGATTCGGCACTATGTCATCCATCATCATTCCTTTTCGCTTCCAACTTTTACCACCTTATCCGGGCTGCGGTTCACCTGTACCTTTCATAGATCACCTGTGGACCTCACCGGAAAATCTCAGCTTCTCTCTCTCTAAAATGCCTATATTTATAGGTTGGTGGTGGCATATCTAAATTTCGGTAAGTGTGTTTGAGGGATCTATTACCATTTCACATCTTCCAGGTCACCTTTTTATCTGTTGAGTGTTTGTTTGTGGTTGTTGGCAGTGGTTGGTGGTCAGCAGAAGAAGGTAAAACGATGGGAAGACAACCGTGCTGTGACAAACTGGGGGTGAAGAAAGGGCCGTGGACGACGGAGGAAGACAAGAAACTCGTCAACTTTATCCTTACTAACGGCCAATGTTGCTGGCGTGCGGTCCCTAAGCTTGCTGGACTCCGACGTTGTGGCAAAAGTTGCCGGCTCCGGTGGACCAACTATCTCCGACCAGACTTGAAGCGTGGCCTGCTCAATGAATCAGAGGAACAGCTCGTTATTGACCTCCATGCTCGTCTCGGCAACCGGTAGCTAGTCTCTCTCCTCTTGATTGTCTTGAAATTATAGTCGATTTATCCTTTTCTAAGCATTTGCATGAGAGTAAACGTACGTACATACAATTCTCTTTTGATGTTGTAAATGATCCTCTACTTTGAATTGAGTCTTATTATATCGATTTACAATTAAGTTATGGATATTTTTATGTATTAGGTGGTCAAAAATAGCTGCACGGATGCCTGGACGAACAGACAATGAAATCAAGAATCACTGGAACACACATATCAAGAAAAAGCTCTTAAAAATGGGAATTGACCCGGTGACTCATGAACCCCTTCAAAAGGAAAATGAACCGATCAAGACATCATCATCTTCCACTGAAAAACGTTTGCTAGAATCTAAAGATCACCATTCATCACCTCTTGGAAGTGCCAATAGTACCCATGTAAGCTCAGAGGAGAACTCAAGTTCCACATCATCTGAAAATTCCCTAACCATCAATGATCATGAGACTGAAACTTTGTTTGAAAGCCTCTGTGAAGATCAAATGTTGTTAAGTCACCTGTTAAGTGAAAATGAACCTTCGTTCATGGACACATCAGCTTGGGAGTTACCAAACAATGGGCCAAGCTTCAACAACAACGACCATGCTAATGCATTCACCTCGTGGGATGATTGTGCTACATGGCTATTGGATTGTCAGGATTTTGGCGTTCATGATTTTGGTCTGGATTCTTTCAACGATGTTGAAATTGGCATCTTAAACACGGGAAACAAGTAGCAAGAATTATAATTGCAAATCTTCGTTTAAAGGAGAAGACTTGTGTTGTTTTAATGGCTTACAAGTCCAAAGACTTCATATAACAACAACATTCTAATCCTAAGAACCACAGAAATTACAGGAATTAGGGAAAAGATGGAAAAGGGTAAAAGAAAGCCCTTAGCCGTCATACATATATCACATGTTACTAAGTATCGTGTGTAGTAATTTTAGGTTTATCAATGTTTTCTTTTTATAAAAAATATATAGAACGTTGTATATGCATGTCCAAAGGAATGGAGATGGCTAGATGGAAAATATATTCTTCAGATGAACATAAATGTCAACTTTCAAGAAGTTAGAGGGGCCTTTCGTAAATATGGAATGCGGTTGTTAAATATTTTTTGTTTAGAATATTGGTTGAATAAATATACGAATTTCTAATCATCTTGGAGACTTGGACCACAACTGAAGCATTCTTTTGGATTAAATACTAGTTTAGGTTGCTATTGCTTAATTAACTATTTATTCATTTTTATGCTATTTTTTAGTTAATTACTTATTATTATTTTTTTTCTAATATATATCTTTAATTATTTATTTCAATGTTGTTTATAAATTATGGTTGAAGGAATGGTCGGAAAAAATAAAAATCTTTAATACGATTACAAATGTTTTCTATCTTCCTATTTGTCAAAGTCGATCGTCACTACTAGATTTGGATGTTTTTTTCTAAAGAACTTTTCTTTACGGATAATACTAAATTTTGTTGTCATTTATAAGTTTTGAGATTGGCTTGACTTTTGAAAACCAAACTATAAAATTCAAACAAAATTAATTTGATTGATCGGGATCGGATTTAAGATCTGAGAAAACCGATAAATCTGCTTGGCTTAATTTAATTTGGAAAAAGAGAATAAATTATCTAGATTTACTTGACAAGATCAAATATTTACGTTCCATTCAAGCGTACACCCTTATTCTAGTGAAGATGCGCATATATCATAATTTTACAAAAAAGATCTAACAAACCTTTGTTTATATTGGAGCTTATTTCACTCTTGACTGTTATGTTAGTTACAGAGGTATATTAGTAATTTAATTTGTAATTAATTAGATAACAATTTAATAGAAGGTTGTTAGTGTTATGTAATACCCAGCTGATTTATATTTACTTTTTTGTATAAGTCTATGCCAATTTGGCATATCAAGAATACAGTTTCCCTTTCTTTCTTCTTCTAATATGTAATATGGTATCATAGAGAAGAACTAAAGCTTCCGTTCAATTTTCCGATCAAGTTTCCGATTATTGATTTTCACTTTCCCAATCAGTCACTCGAATTTGATTTTCACTGATTGTGTTTTTTTCTTGTATTTGTTAGATTGTTTCGAATCGATTTCTTGTTCTTTCAATTCAATTTCTGTTTGTCGATTTGCTATGGCTATGAATTCAAACTCGTCAGGATCTAACAATGTCGCTCCTATTGACGACAGAACTCATCCATATTATCTACATCATTCTGACAGTCCTGGATTTGTTCTTGTTTCTCAAGTTTTAACTGGAGAAAATTACAATTCATGGAGTCAAGCTATAAATATAGCTTTATTTGTCAAAAATAAGATTGGCTTCATCAACGGATCTCTTCCTATGCCGAATTCTTTAGATATCTCAAATTACAACGCGTGGATGAGGAACAACAAGCTTGTTATCTCATGGAGATTTTGTATTCTCTTTCTAAAGAAATCTCGACAAGTGTTATGTTTACTGAAAGCGCATATGAAATTTGGAACGATTTAAAAGATCGATTTCACCAAAGTGGCGGTCAACAAAAATTTCAAATTAGGCGTCATCTTGTCAATCTATCTAAAAATCAAGACTCAGTTGGATTTTATTTCACCAAGCTGAAGTCGTTGTCTGAAGAACTAATCAACTTTCGTCCACACTGTACCTGCAACAAATGTATATGTGATGGAGTTCAAAAGATAGAGAAGTACTTCCAAAATGAGCATATTATGAATTTTCTCTTGGGATTGAATGATTCATTTACTCAAACTAGAGGCCAAATTTTTCTCATGGATCTTTTGCCATCTATCAATCGTGTTTTCTCCCTAATTGCATAAGAAGAGAAGAAGTAATCAATTTCTATTGACGCACAACAATCTGTTGCTTTTGTTGCTAAGGGTAATCAAAGTCAACAAAAATGGTAATAGGGATAGACCTTTCGGCACTCACTGCAAGCTTCAGGGACACACCATTTATAAGTGTTATAAACTTCATAGATATCCTCCTGGTTATAAAATCAAACCTAAGTAAAATTTTACTGTTGCTGCTATAACTAATGACAATAACGGGACAAATGTTGTCAATGATTCTCTTGGCAATATGTTCAAAGGATTTTTCTCCACAACAATGTCAACAAGTGATGACTGCACTTTCTTTTCATATGATTTTTGTTAATCCAAATGAAGAGACTCCAACAGATAAACATTACTCTTTAGCAATAAGACATGGATCAAAATCATCCTTGTGGATTTCAGATTTAGGAGCATCTCAACATGTATGTCATGACTTATCTCTTTTCCACAACACTTGTGAGGCTCAAAGATATTCTGTCACTCTCCCTAACAAAATCACTTTGCCTGTTAAATTGATTAGTAGTGTCAAATTGGATCCAATCATCACTCTCACTGAAGTGTTATATCTACCTAATTTTGATATGAATCTTATAATCATGAGGATGATTGGCAGGGCCAAAGTTGATGAAGGATTGTATGGGATGGGCAAAATTGATATGAAGAATGACAAGTTGCAACCCTTTAGTTCAACCTTACTGCAAAGCTCCCATTTGAGTCTAACCATTGTTGAGATGAGTCTTTCATTCGAAGGATTATGTAAGCTTTGATGCATGTGATTGATTGTATTCGTGGAGTAGTTAACTGTCATCATTGGGAGTTCTTTAGCAACTGATGGCAGTGTGAGGTTGGGAACCTAGGAGAGCCTAGGAAGTGTTGTAGCGGGTTGGCCTACGCTGTTTAGCGTTGGGTATTTGTTTGAGAATGGGTGTATAAGAATAGATATGTCAGATATGGATAGGAGTGGTTACTTAGAGGACCCGGGATGATTCTTGAGGAAAGTATGGATAGGTCTGGAAGGTAGTATTGGGCCCGTACTACTGGAAGTATAGGATCCATACTCGATTCGAGGAAAATTTTGGGAAATCTAAGGACTGGTTAAGGAAGATGGCATGGTTTGGCACCATGATTTGTGGCAGTGTATTTCTGCCTTCATTAGTTTATCGGGTATGATCGTCCAGGCTGAGGATGGTTCAGATGATTGTTCGGGCCTCAATGGCCTTATCTGTTAGGTTTCAATCGTGCAAAAACAGGGAGGGTAATTTATTCCGACAGTGGGACTTGATCAAGTAGTGAAATTTGAGTCGCGAGACTCAAGAAGGAAGTGAGTGTGATGAATGGCTCGAGGATTGCAGCCGGAGATTAAGTGATTGGCAGATGGATTGGGATGTCACTATCATCGATAGGGGTTATGTACTTCTAGCTTTCCGCAATAGGAGGAAAGAGAGAGTGGTCATGTGACTTTCAGGGATATGATGTAGTCCCTACATGAGTCCAGAAGATTGTGGTTTTCTTGTCGACGGATATGTCAACGTAAGAATGCACAAAAAGTGGTTTCTGCAGTATGGTTGCTTTGAGATGAGATCAGGGGTCTACTTTCTTGAAATTAGTTAGGTCAAGTGCTAGTTGATTGCCCAGGAACCAAGGGAAGTGAATCAACAAGATCAACTTTTGTCGTCTCTGATGTATCCTGACTAAGAGAATGATGCTTCTTATAATTATGAGTAACACTCGCGATAAATTGTTTGCTAGGAAATTAGGCGAGGTGTGTGGTACTTCATTTGCTTCTATATGGAGAATTGATTTCATGATTAGGAGGAATTATTGTTTGTTCATACGCATGGGATTCTGATATTAGAAGGTGGTTATTGGGACGTTTTCGGAGTTTCCATCTGAGATCCGAGATAAATTATGTTCATTTGTTCCTTATCTAGAGGACTGATTTCAGATGTGGAAGGCCAACAACGTCATTTGATGGTAGTTCAAAACCTAATTGGGGGAGAACCGACTATTGTGGTTAAAGGATCATTGCTATATTTGAATTTATGACTTTGGAAGAATGGGTTTTAGAGATTTTCTGTTCGGGTATGTGGAACCTTGTTTCAGGTTTTGGTGAGGATGGAGGTGTTAGATGTATGTGTTCAAGAATGCAAGATCCATCTTGTCGTCAAGAAGATGTTGGACGAGGAAGCTTGTTGTAGCTAGTGTTTCCTTTCAAAATGCCGCAAAATAGATCAAGAGGCATTGGAATGCTCAGGATGATCATTGAGTGCTAGGGGAAATTCCTCATTTCGTTGTATGGATCGATATCCCTGTTCTAGGGTGGGGAGTGTTGATCGTTAAATCATCTTCACAGTTGGTATGTTTGTTCTCGTGTGAATTTTGGTGCAAGAAGTGCATTGGATTATTGGGTTAGTTTTCAATACATTCTAAGTCGTGGTCTTCTGGTTCATCATCAAAAGTGGAGGTCCTTCGAAAGTTTCAAGCTGTGTTAGTTGAAGACCAAGGGATACGTCAACCTACCGTCGAGTTTCGTATGTTTTATATGTTCTTTGGTTTCAAGGTATGATTACATTCTATTGTGGTATGGAATTTTGGTTCATAGCAGGCTCAAGTTTGGCAGTTATCCTTGATATTTGGAAGTTCGGATGTGGGGGCAGCGTTGTTTAGCTTTCCTATTTCGGCAGCAATTCTAGATCACCTTGGAAGTTTTCTCGAGCTATTGCGAATTGGTGGAGTCTGTTCGGTTTCAATAAAGGTGTGGGATCTTGTTTCAATCGTTCATGAGGATGTTTTTGTTAACGGTTAAGGTTCGTCATGTTGTTAAATCTGTTAGTACATCACCCTTTGGGCTAGGATGTGAGGGCAAGAGGATGCAGTAGATCCAGGGTTGGGTATGTGTCTCCCCTTGGGGGCGTACACTATGTTAGTGCGTCGATTATGGTCAGGAGGGGTATAAGTGGACTGAGTAAGATAACTTGAGATCTTTTCATTAGTATTGTTCGCATGGTGATCATTAGGTTATAACTTTCAAATCGGGAGAAGAATATGACTATGTATCTCCTCCTTCTGGTTGTGTGTGGCCATGTTTCCGTCTAGTTTTGTGTTGGTATCAGTCGGTGTTGTGTATAGAAGTGTGTGTGATAGATGGGTATGACATATGTTTTGTTTAGATAGCATTAAGAGGGATGTTGTTTGGATTCCTACAAGACGATGGACTACTGGTTGGGTATTTTTAGGTCTCGGTGGGGCTGGTC